TAATTTATGTTACATTATTGATTCTAAATTTTCATCTCAAATTCTCATACTTTATCGTTACTTTTTACAAAATTATACTAATAATATTTGTGTGATCCGCCGTAACCGCGCCCGTTCAAACTAATCCATTTCACACAGGAAATTTCTCTATTTCTGTATTCATGTTTGCAGAGAGCTAGAACGCTGATTTCTTCAACAGTGGAAAACTTTGTCGTCATTATCTTCAAGTGGAGTTGGGTGGTGCATGAAATGATCAGAGCTGATTGAAGTCCCCACAAGGCTTTGTAAAGATTATTAGTTACGATAAGATTCACGTTACCATCAAAAATTTAATTCCAGTTATTAGTAATCTTTGGTACCCCTTGTACTAAATTAATTGTCATCTTTTTAATTATTTTAAATTTATATTAAATTAATTATTATTTTTTTTATTTTTTAAGGTATATAAATTTTTGTTGCACCCGGATCTCACGGGCCAATGGCTATAGGCCGGCTTGAAGGTGCATCTCCTCAGCCCAAGGGCTGGGGTTCGATTCCCCTCACCTCCATATTTTTAATCCTGTTAAAAAAAATGTATATAAATTTTTGTTTATATTTTAATTTTATTGTTATCTAATTATGTTAATTAATTATTCAATTACAAAAAATCTCTTTTTATTTTTTTTTTTTAAACTAAGCGAAATCTTTTCATTACAACACTGCCAAACAACATCTATGGCAAAATCTTATCCTATGGATAAGAGTAAATAACAAATAGATAAAGTGCAATTGGAGAGAAAATTTAAAGTAGACCCAGTTCAATAGTGATAATGAAAGGTGGTGAACAATACACACAAACAACCTCAAAGGAACAAGTTTGTATAGATTCCTTTAGTTGAACGATCTAAATAACTGGACATCCTTTAATCTACTCTTGTAAGAGTTGCGTTTGGTCTCCAGGATGTCGAGGCAGGTAGATCTAGACAAGCAGTGATCATCCCCCATAATCATCATGAGAGGCTCGATGGCCACCAGATCTGGGTAAACCAACAACCACCTCCTAAGATCTACGTGATAGATTGGTTGGCCACCGGATCTGAGATCAAATAAACAAAACAAAACTAAAAAAATAGAAAAAAAAAAAAGAAAAGAAAAGGACCACTAGAATGGGTCCCAAAAGGCAATAGACCATAAAAGGGTTATCGGAGCAGGGAGCACAAAACCGACTTCATCATGCTTAAGCAACCAGAGATCCTAGTGACTCAAGCATCAAAAACTTCGAAGACCCAATGGCTTCCGAGCACAAAAAAACAAAACGCAAAGGAAAGGTAGCCAGAAGCGGGAGAAAATAGTATCTCTTTTTATTTTCGAATTTTTTTTAAAATATTATAGATAAATATAAATACTATTTTTAAATTCTTAATTTAAAAAAAATTAAAAAAATAATAGTTATTTTAAAATAAAATAAAAACTAAAATTTATATGATTTTATAATTTTACAATTTACGGGGCACTACTTGCCCCCTAGACTTCTAAACCCTTCTTAAAAAATAAAATGATGTATTCTAATTTTTATTTTTTTTCATAAGTTTTATGATAATTTTAAACAAATTTTAATAAAATATATATTTTTCAATTATAGTGAACCAATGGTAATTGACCAAAAAAATTAATAATATGAAATTACTTTTATATATTTGAGTTGTTTATCATTGTAATAAATATTTATTTAATGATTGATCATTTGTATTAAACAGATAAATAAACCTAATTTAGAATTGGTATTATTAATTTTTTAGAACATCTATGTTTTAATTTTATTAAAAAGTCATAAAATTTATTTTTAGGGTATACATTTTAAATAGCACTTCACCCCTTGAGATCATTTTTAGGCTCCATCCCTAAACTGCACCAAATTATAAAGTAGGCATAATTGGATGAGAAATAGTCCCAACATTAAGAGTGACTAATAATTTAAGTTATGCACTCTAACATAATTTAAACTACATATAACATCTTATTTATATATTTATTAGGAAAATGATTGATACATCTTCGGTTCAACATATTTTTTGACATACTTTCGATTTAGTCATTAAAAATATAATATAAATACAGTCAATTCAACTGATTCTTATATCTTATGTGTATAATTATATCATTAAATTAGTCTGTCTTTAATTTTAAATTAAAAAATAATAATTTTTTAATAAGTGTGTCACGCAGTTTGTTGAACAAGAATATATACCAATCATTGTCCTATTTATTAATAATCATACAATTTCCTTATATTGGATTCACAGCATCATTTTTTTATTTCTATATTTATTATAATCAATTAAGATGCATCCATGCCCATGAACAGCTTTCTCTAACAGTTTTCTCTTATCCAAAAGCAAAAATTGAGCTAATGGTCGATGGTTCATAGGTTATGGAATTTATTGGCTGTATAGTTGATCACGAATATAGGACGTCTTATTCATAACGTCGTCTCTGAAGCATAAATGCTAGGACTTATTCAAGGTCTACTTAAGTTCACGCTTCTTAATAGTGGCATAAGAGCAAGTGGTGATGGTGTGGCATTGTATAATTTCGAGAATGGAATTGATCATCGACAAGGACTTCCAACGATCCACTGAAACTTCATTACCTGGTCCAAAATGGCGCAAGTAGACTAAGCAGCGCTCGAGGGATATTGAAAATGAAATGAAATCCACATCATTATGCATGTGGACTAAAATAAAGTAATTATAAAAAGGATAAGATTATTCCGCATTTCCGCTGCCAAACTTTGATTTTTGTTTTATTTCTTAGGAGGACCATATTAGCTGGAGAAGCCTACTTTCCATCAAGTTTTATTCAAGTCAAATAACGAAATAAATTGTTTAAATATGATTAGTACATTATTCACATGGTTAGATATATTTGTTGACAATCATTTAATTTAGTCATTAAAATAATATAAAAATAGTTGATTGATTTAATTTAGTCGTTTTTCAATATTATACGCATGACTATAACTGTAAATGTTTTTGCCTTTAATTTGAAATTGAAAAATGATTATTTTTTAATAAACATATTGTAGATTGTGTTAAATTAAAAACTAGTTGTATCAATGTCCTAAATTATTTCCATGGTAAACTTATCTCTCTGATCTAATGCAAATTATGTGATTTGTAGTTATTGTCCTTGGTTTTTATGTGGTTACCTTTCTTCTCTATTCTTCATTGCTTAAATCAATTGTTTTAGTAAGAATAATATAAATCAATTTTTTTAGGAGTAAAAACTAGATCTTTGAAATCAAAAAAACTATTTACTGAATAATGCTACCCACTAATTAAGTGGAAAACTTGAAGTTGTGAGGAGACCAAAAGATTGTAATTAGCTATTTCTTAGCCCGCCAGTCCCATGTAGGTAATTGGAATACCTAGCAAAAGATGTCGAGTCAGGCAGGATAGTCTGAGGTTGCAAATTTATTGGTATATATATATATATATATATATTAATTTGAGTTGCACAATTAAGAGATAATTTTTAATTTTTAATTTACCTTATTTATTTGTCTTACTTTACTAGAATAAAAAATTTATCATTAAGTCCTTTAAGTCATTACAAATTAATGACTTTTGACTGTGCCATTTGTTCTTATAAAGTTAAGGGACATTTAATATAAAAGTTTGAATTTAACTATTAGTATTTTAATTTTATTTAGTTTATAAGCATAATAATTTTGAACAATTAAAAATTAATAATTTATTATTTTGTTCGCCAAAAAAATTTTCAATATTCATTACATTTGAAACATTAATATGAACAAAAATTAAAATTAAAATTAAAATGAATTATTAAAAATTACAAATCATTTAATTTCAAACATAAAAACAACAGGTTTTAGTGAGAATTACGTTATATTTCACTTATTTTATAATTATAATTATATGTATTAATAATTTTCATAATTTTAATATTAAAATATCTTAAATTTTTTTTGCATCATCTACTCTAAAACACCCCTGGGGTTACTGCTCCTAATTCAAGATAATGAAATTTCTAGGGAGTACCTTTTTTATAAAACTAAAAAGTACAAGTACTTGGGTTTTCTGATCTAGTGACGTTAAATCACGTATAAATACATTCCCTCACGCCGAGCAACTGTTTCAATACGGACCTATTCTGAATTTGTTAAAAAGAAAAAACTAAAAAGTACAAGAATCTTTCGGACAGTGGAATAGACCGTGGCATCAAATTTCCAACGCGCTACTGTCCATTTTTGACATCCATTTGTAAATATAAATTAAAGCAACCAACCCACCCCCCCAAAACTTCCTATTTTTGTCTGTATCCTTTCCCTTGCTGAATGATGGCTAAGGTTCACCATCCAATTTGTTATGTTATCAATTTAACTACAGTATATTTTTGTCAATTTATAATTTTATAAAAAATAATTAATTATGATATT